CCTTCGTGGCCGACTCCAGCCTGCGCACGCAGAACAACTTCTTCCTGCTCAACCTGGCCATCTCGGATTTCCTAGTAGGTAAAGTGCCGCTCCGCGCCGCTCCGCGCAGCTCCCCGCGCTTACATAAGCTGACAGCGCCCGCCACCCCCGCACGCCCCCGCGGCCGGGGCCGCCCGCGCCGCCGCCCAGCAAAGAGAGCAGAAAAAATAAAATTAAAAGGAAATTTAGAAAAAGAAAGAGAAAAGGCAAAGCGGCCGGCGGGGAGGGCGGCCGGGAGCCGCGCGGCCCCGCACCTGTAGCGCGGCGCTCACCTTGTAGACGTTCTCGGTGAGCCGGTGCACCTCCTCGGAGCGGGCCATGGCGGGCGGCCCGGGCAGCACCATGGGCGGGCGGGCGGAGCGGCAGCGGCGGGTCCCGGGCGGAGCGCAGCAGCGCGGAGCTGCCGCCGCGCCGCCTTTTATTGCGCTGAGCGCCGCCGCCGCCCGCCCCGGCCCGGCCCGGGGGAGGAGCGTGCGGCCCGGCCCGGCCCGGCCCGGCGCRGAGAGCCGGGCAGGGCAGCGCGGGAGGGCTGTGCTGTGCCCGTCCCGTGCCCCCTCCTGAGCCCCCTGCTACACCCCCTCCTATACATCCCCTCCTACATCGCACTCGCACAACCCACACCATCCCCTCCAGCTACAGCCCCACTGCACCTCATACCCATCAGGTACTTTCTGCTATATCCCATACCCCTCCTAAACCCTCCTCTGCAGCCCACACCCCATCCGATATCCCTTGCTATACCACCCCTATGCCCTCTGCTATACCCCCACTATAGCCTATACCCGTCCCATACCCGTGCTGTGCCCTCTGCTTTACCCCCGCTATACCCACACCCCAAACCCGTCCCACAGCCTTTGCCATGCGCCCTGTTACAGCCCTTCACAGCTCACACGGTACCCCTGCCACGGCCTCCGCTGAGCCCTGCTATGCGCCCCATAGCTCTGCAACGCTGCGTCCCAGTGCAAGAGCCCCTGCTGTGCCCTGTACCCTATAGCCCTGCTGGACCCCGCGCCCTGTCCTGCACCCCTGGTTACACCCGTTCCCCACCACGCAGGATGGATGGGAGAGGAGCAACCGCTGGGCACAAAGGAGCCGGTGTCCTGGCAGGGGTTGGGATTAGATGGGGCAGGGCGAGGGTGCTGGGTGGAAGGACGGGAGCGGTGCAGGGACGGGTGACAGGGGCCATGTGGCCACACGTGGTGTCCCCAGCACCGCTCATCCTCAGCCTGGAGCGGGGCTTGGCCTGCAAGAGGCCACCCGTGTCCCCAGCTGCCCTGCACAGGGGCCCTGGGCTCTCCGTTTGTCACCAGCAGGATCCAGGATGTTCCCAGGAGCCCCCCCAGCCTCCGCCAGCCCCCGGGTCCCCGCGGGATGGCAAAGCTGCCTCCTGTCCCTGCCCTCACACCAGGCAGTGACATCTGCGCAGGTCCGGAGGACAGGATGGCCACGCGCCCCTTCACTGCCCCCTCCATCTTCCCGCTCCACATGGATCCGGGAGAGAAGCCGGAAAATCCCCCCGGCGACTCTCACTCCCGGGGCCTCAGCTCCCGTTTCGACTTTTCTCTCCTTGGGGGGTTTCACACGCTGGAGAACGGGAAGGAATTCATGACAAATAAGACACGTTCCTGCCTTGTGAGCCTAGCTAAGCTGTCCCGGCTGTGGCTTAAAAAAGGAAGAGCATCTGGGACAGATCCTCCTATGGGCCTGGATAAGGAGAGCGGCACGGGACGCGCTGGGGCCGGGCGCTGGGCCAGCTCGGCTGCCGGGATGGGCCTTGGAGCGGCCCCAGCACCCTGCTGCATCGTCGGTGCTGGGGACGGCAGGAGAAGGGATTCAGACGGAGCAGCCAGGAAAAGGCTGCTTCTCTGTGCATCTCTATCACCTTATTTTTAGTTATGTTATGTAAGTTCTTTGCTACGTCACCAATGTGGGGGGTTCTTGCATTTAATTCCAGTGTGACAGCCCAGCAATTCAGACAAGCTGTTCCTCTGGTGAGGAAGATAAAAGGATTTGTAATCTCTGCTGCTAAGGGAGGCCTTTTGGGCCGCCCCTCAGAGACGCTCCCGCATCGAGGCGGCTCTCCGTGGTCTTGGAGCGTCTCCGCTTCCCTTCCACCCTCTGCTTTTCTTTATTCCCAGGAAACCTGAGGGCAGAAACCCCCCCTCTCCCAAGCCCATCTCATGTGGGGAGCATAGGCTGGGTTTGGTTTGTTCTGTGTTAAGTAGATCCAGCCCACCTTTGCCCCTGGCTTTTCCATGTCCGGAGTGGTCCATGCCCCTTGGCTGCTCCGGCTCTGCCCTAAGGAACCGCAGCCAATCCAGGAGGGAAGAGCCAGCTCCACTGCCCTCCTGGAGCAGCTTGCAGACAGCGGCAGGAAAAACCCGCCTTTGCCTCGTGCCCCAGCGCTTGCTTTGATTTTCCTTTCTTTTTGTCGCTAGCTCTCTGTTTGTCACCATGATTCACTCCCGAGCAGCGGCAGCAGCTGGAGCCTGCCCAGGGTAACCATGGTTTTTGAGCCCGCGCCGTTTGCTCGGCTCCCTGCGGCGCCTCCACGCTGCTCCACGCTTCCCGGGCCGGGGAGCGGAGCCTGGAGCTGCTGCGGTGCGGAGCGAGCGGCAGCCGAGCACGGACACGGCCCGGGCGCATCGGGCTGATCAGCCCCCTGTGCTCCCAGAGGCATCCGGCTCCGCGGGAAAACCCATCCTGGGCCCAGCAAACCCAGCCGGAGAGTGCGGCTTGGAGTAGGGAATGTCGCTCCCATGGGAGGCTGAGGACTGGCAGCTCATCACACAGGGGAGCTGTGGCGACCAGCAGCTCCCCCGACCTTGGGCAACCGGCTGCGCGGCTGCTGCTTCCCGCGGGCTCCGCAGATCCGAGCGGGAAGGTTGGCGGGCGGGAGGAAAGCGGCAGCAGGGGCTGGAGGGCACGGATGGGGCAGGGAACGGGGCCCCTTCCCCAGCCCTTCTCCTCCCTTTCCGCATGGATCAGGAGGAAGGGGCCTGGGGGAGCGGGGCCATCCCAGCCCTGCGCCCAGCGGGGCAGCGGCCCCTCGAGCCGACCTGTTAATGAGACGGGCGCGAGGCCTCACACCGCCCGGCCGGGCAGGTGGCCGCCCCGTCAGCGGCCGCTCGTCCAGCCGGTGCCAAGAGTTATTTCTTCCTACGATAATTTTAATGGGATTTCTGTGACATCTGCTGTGCCACTTTGGGGAATCAACCTAATGTGTCTGAGCAAAAAAACCCCACCGAGCTGCAAGCGCAGGGCACGTTCTTGCCTCGCCAGCCTGGCTGGCCTCGACCTGCTGTCCCTTCAGGTCACTTGTATTTCTGTGCGAGCGTTTCCCATCACGGGGCGGCAGAGACGCCCCAGCCCAGGCCGGGCAGCTGCCCCCACTCCCGGTGGGGTGGCAGCGGGAGGGTCCCCATGGTCCCAGATGGGGTCCCGCAGGTGCCCTCCGTCCCGCGGGATTCCCGTGTGCGGGAAGCAGCGGGTGACGCTGCTCGCGGGCCGCCCTGTGCACGTCCCTAGGAGCAGCGGGACCCCGCGCCAGGGCTGCCGCCGCCGTCCCCGCCGCTGTCCCCGCCGTCCCCGCCGCTGTCCCCGCCGTCCCCGCCGCTGTCCCCGCTGTCCCCGCCGCCGTCCCCGCCGCTGTCCCCGTCCGGGGGCGGCCACCGCCACCCCGCGGGGCCGCGCGGGACTGCAGGGCTGCCCACGCCCCCGGGCCCCTCCTGGCGCTGCCACTCGCGGGTCACTCGTGTCACATCCCCGGGCGGGCAGAGGTGCCACCTGCTCACCGTGTCCCGGGGCGCTTAGGGCCGACCTGGGTTGGTGCATTTTGTTTTTCGGGTCAGGACGTAAACGCTGTCGCAGAAGGAGCGACTTGGCCCCGTCGCCCGCACAGAGAGCGCAGGGAGCAGCAGCCGCGCACGCGGGTTGGCAAAGGATGAGCAATTCGGGGTCCCATCCACGGGGCAGCAGCTGCCCCACTGACTCCCGCGTGGTCGGGAAGGGCCGTGGGAGCAGCCTGAGCTCCGGCCATGCTCCATGTGGAGCCCCAAGCGTCCAAGGGGACCAAGGAGAAACCGAGGCTCGCAGGGCAGGAGCCGCTTGTCCAGGGTCCTGCAGCGGGGGCAGCTTCTCCCTGGGCTCATTGCAACAGGTCTCCCTGCTCTGAGTGCTCCTATTTCCAGGTATGTCCGCACCAGGATCTGTTCTGCTCGTTAACGTGACCCGGCAGCTCCCAACGGGTGCTGCTCTGCAGGCTGGAGTGGTGCCGGGGGCACAGGGCTCCCGACGAGGACGATGAGTGCGGACACCGGCCCCAGCGGCCCTTCCTTCGCGTGCAGCTGGCCCGCGAGCTGCTGCCAGGTCCATTCCTGTCACCAGCTCTGCTAATGGTGAAGAACAGTGGCAGAGCCAGCAGGATACATGGACACACGTGGGCACCGCAGGCTGCAGGACCCGCTCCCCTTCCCTCCAAGTGAGCAGAAGCCGAAGGCAGGCGTTGGTTTGTGGGGCTGGGGCAGCCTTTCCAGCTGCATCCATCGCATCTGAAGTGCATGCGTGCATCAGGAGGAGAGCTGCAAGCCTGGCCCATGCTGCCCCCGTGTCCCTCCTGCTCCCAGGGGGACAGGGACCAGTGTCACCTGCAGCCCCCGGCTGCTCCATAGGGCTGCAATGAGCCCTGGAGGGGCAGCAGCTGCCCGGCCGAGCGGCCTCTGCTCCCCGCGAGGCTCCCAAGGAGCTGGAGACGCTGCAGGTTACAGAGCAGGCAGGGAAACAAAGCCCGTGGGTGGCGGGAATGCTGGAACGAGGCCGGGAAGCCGGAGCGGAGGCAGGGAGCGGGGCGGGATGGCTCCAGGAATGCACTGGGGTGCTCGGAGGGACGAGCTCTGGGCTGGGGGGCGCGGGGATGTGGTGGGCACGGTGGGATTCGCGTCACGTTCCTGAGCGAGGGGACACGCAGGGACAGCGTCTCCCATCGGTGTGATGGGTGGGATCTCCAGGGGCAGGACCCCCGGCCCCCCGATCCCGCAGTGCAGCCCTTCCCTACGTGTGGGCTGTGAGCCGCGGTGCCGGCCTCGGAGGCGCTGGTGGCCACGGGGCCAGTGACAGCTCGGTGGGCACCGCCGCAGGCTGGGAAGCTCCGTTTGGGGCCAAATAGCAAAAACAGGTAGCTGGGGACAATGATGATTCCCCAACGCTCTTTCCAGCACAGAAATCCCGTTGGAAGCGGCTCTGGGTCCCTGCAAGGGGGGCGGGCAGCTGCCCCCGTGCAGCGCGGAGCGTCAGGCGCTGCCAAGCGCCGCCAGCGCCGGGCGCCGCGGGCAGCGCAGGTCACATTCCCCAGCTCAGCCCCCACAGAGCCGCTTTGTTCCGAGCACAGCTTTAATTAGGAAATTGCGCTGATTTTTCCCACAGTTGAACTATCCACACTGAGGCTTGCTCCCTGCCAAGGCCTCCTCCGGCCCCGCGCGGGTGACCCAGTGCAGCACCGGGCACTTGTGGCACGGGAATGGGCCAGGGCAGTGGGGCTGCCGCGGTGGCTCCGCGCTCCCGGCTGGGCAGCCTCGGGGTGCAGAACAGACCCCACAAAGCGGTGCACAGAGCAGGGCGCTGCCGGCGGCCTGCGCTCGGCCCCAGCACGGGCCGGGTACAGAGCAAGGGGAGGTTTTCTGCAGGATGAGACGAGGAAGATGAGGGGAAGCAGCCTGGGCGCAGAGCTCGTCCTGTCCTGCTGCGCTTGTTCCCGCGGCCACGGGAAAGGCCGCTGCTGCGTCCCGAATGCCATCTGTGCCACCCACTGCTGCAAACACCGAGGCACTGACACCCGACCGGGGCCGTCCCAGCGGGTCCGGTCTGAGGGACCGCGTTGTGGCCGTGGCGCAGGGTCCCTGCACGGGCACCCGTGGGGGTTCTGCGCTGGGAGACCGGTGTGACCAGGGCTCCGCAGCCACCGGCCAGCCCGAGGCCGGCAGCTGCTGCCACCACGGTGTGGGCCACCCTCCTTGTCCCCAGCGAAAGGCCGCGTTTCCCTCGCAGGCCAGGACGTTATTTTGCCCGTTATTTAGCCCCAGAGCACCCACCAGCGTCCGACCCACGGGTGACGGGATGATGTGAACCCAGGTTTCCTTCTCCATGTCCTCCACGTCACCCGCTGCTGGCAGAGCCAAGTGGCTGTTGCTGTCACTCACCCAGGGGACAAGGTCCTGGACATGGTCCCGGTCACCCACACGGGCATGACTGAGATCTTCTTACAGACGGAGGCAGCCCGGAAACCTCCCTGCCCGAAGCTCCCGCAGGAGCAGGGAGAGGAAGCGGCTCCCGGTCACCCTGAATATCCGCTGTGAAAATACGAGAGCGAAGCAAAGGAGGCGAAACCCTTAGAAATGTTTATTGTCCCGGACACCATGGAGGTCGCGGCCCCGGCTCCTCCTCTCACAGCCGGGACAAGCTGTTGGATACAGGGATCACCAGAGGAGGCTGTCGGCCACCCGCTCCAAAGCTCCCCGCCAAGCCTGCGGCGATGGGCCTGGCACCTGCCCCTAGGAGAGCGAGGAGTCACGTTCCCGTGGGACGGCGCCGCTCCGGATCACGGCCTGCACTGCGGAGCAGCCCGAGCGGCCCCCGCGCCAGGAGCAATTTGGGAGAAACGGGAATTGCCGGGACAGGGAGCGGCATTGCGCCCCCGCAGCGGCTCCCCTCCGGGACCGCGCTGGGAGAGCCCGGCATTCGCTCCTATACGCTATCAATTAAAGAGGGTAAAATTGAATGAGGTGACACCAAGGCAGCAAGGGAAGGGAGGGAGCCGAGAGAAAGCCCTGGGTTAGGTGTTAGACACGGCTGTGCTGGTGAGGACAAGGCTCTCTCTGGTGGAAAGCGCAGGGATTGCAGAGCTCGCAGAGAGGGAGCCCCATCTTGTCCAGAGGGGAAGAAAAACTCCCAGGTGTGAAACAGGGGACAGACCGTCATCATCCTCAGCTGCGCGAGCTGCAGGAACGGCCGTTCGAGCCGCTCCAAACACTGACCCCGCTAACTGCTGTGTTCATCACACAGGCACAAAATACCATTCTACGCCTACTGTGCCAATACGAGACAGAGCTGAGCTCGTTCTCTGGAGCTGCGCGTGGTTAACACACACAGGTCTGAGGGGGTCTCCAGGAAACACGACTGCGAGCCCGCGCAATGGAGAGGAGAACAGGGCAATGCCCAAGCTGGGGGGACTCGCGCTCCCCGTCCTGCCCCTCGCAGCAGCACCGGGAGGCCCAGTCCCGTCTTAACACAGGTAAAAACGAATGAATGATGTAAAAAGGAGAGCTTGCTGCTGGCCCACCACCACTGCTTAGAGAGCAGCACCGTCTCTGGCAATATTTATTACTGTCTAGCACCAGATGACAGAACCCCAAAGTTCTCGAAGGATCCTCTGGGTTTTTCTTCTGCTCTGCTGCAGAAGAGGGGAGTAAGGGCTGTGTCTTCAAGAACACAATAAATAAAGAACCATGGTGTCCTGAAGAGCATCTGCAAGCCGGCCAACACGGCCAACACAGGAAGGCCCCCCCCCCTCGCTGGCCAGGCAGTTTTCCAGACAATTCATCAGCTACGAGAACTCAAGTCCTCCAGGCTAAGCACAGACCTGTCCCCCACAGAAGTTCCCCCTAGTCACTCACTGAATAGTCCCTGGAGTGTTAGGAAGCTTCACGCTTCATACGCGGCACCGAGCGAGTCCCAGCCACGTGGCCTGACCTTTCCAGTCTCCTACATTACAAGGAAATATCAAACAGGAGGTGGCAACTGGCAACAGAACTGATCTCAGTCCATCTGTACGTCGCAAAGGTGACGAGGGCGCAGAGCCCCGAGCGGTGACGTGCGGCTCATACAGCAGGCAGCAGAGTCCCTGTTTCCTACAGCCCGCCTAGAACCCAGGAGGTTTGTCAGATTCCCGCCCGTTCGGCTCTGCTGTCACAGCCTGCGTTAGCACAGAGGGATGGCGATGGGGAGAGCAAGACGCGAGCAGGAACCGCCGCGAGGCCCCTTCCCCTCCCGCTGCAACCGCTGCTCCCATCAGCGCTGCTGCTGCGAACGTAGGGCCAGCAACTGCTCTGAGCTCAGCCCCGCGTGTAAACCGGCTCGAGACACAGAAGAACCGTTTCTAATCTCTAGCACAAAATCCTAACGCCCGCAGAAGCTCCAAACCTGCTGCCTTCTTCCAGCCGGACTGTGTGAGCCTGTGCCCTGCCGCTGCCTCACGGTCCCGCAGCCCCCAGCCCTGCTGTGATGGGCTCAAGATTAAGAGAAGCAGCGGGACGGAGAGGCCTGGAGGCGGCAGAGGGGTGAGGGGCTCACGGGCGCAGGGGCTCTCGCGGACACGCGGGCCCTCGGAGGAGAGGCTTCCTGCAGGACCAGCCAGAGCACAGGCAGATTTAGGGCTGAACCAACCCCCAGGCGAGCGCTCGGATTTGCAGGGTTAGAGCTGTTGCTTAATCCCAAGACAGCGCAGCTGAGTGAGTTCAGAATTTAAGTTACAAAAAAAGGAAAGCACTAGAAAATAATCTTGATACAAGAGCAATAATCAGCCGAGGTTCCCCACCCTGCAGAGGGAATCCTGCTCCACGATCCGCCCAGCACAGCTGGGATGCTGCCAAGGCGGCGCTTGGTCCCAGCACGCGCTGGGATGGGATGAGATCTCCCGAATTGTCCCGGGACAAAGGAACGGAGGCAGCCCCGGAGGCCGGAGTTAAGAGGCTGCCACCAGTTCTGGCTTTGGCCTGTTCTTGACGGGTGATGCTTCTGTGGAGGGAAGAGAAACTCGTTACAGAAAGTGAAGCATCTCCAGCCTGTGAATGAGCTAAGCCTCGTGCTCCCCTTCTCCACAAAGCAGCGAGTGTTTGTGCAGAACCTGGAGAGTTACTGAACACTGCAAATAACCCGTGTGTGAAGCAGGTGGCCAAGGAAGGCACAAGTTCACCGTGGGGCTCCCGGACTCCAGTGCAGCCAGCAGTGTCGCAGCGCTACAAAGGGTGATTCCAGACCACCAGATGCAACAAAATGGGGGAGACTCAAACAAATAACCAGATGCCAGCTGAGCAGAGTAAGAGATTGGAGCCTGGGGCCCCAAAAGAAAAGCTTCATCTGCATTTGTGTGAAGGAAGCTTTTACAGCCCAAAGCAGCACCACTTCACACCAAAGTGTTGATCCCTGCACATTTACTAGGACAACACTTGTGTGAATGAGGGTCCCACAGTATTTGATAGAGCTGAGAAGACAGGTGAGAAGGCAGAGCATATAGAGACAGCGTACCTGGAACCTCTTGTGGGAGCGGCTCAGAGGGAACTTCTGGAAGCTCCATCTGTTCCTGTAAGAACAGGAAAGATGACACATGACACACACCCCACACGCTGGGCTGCGGCACGGAGCTCTGTGCAAAGGCGCTTTGGAAGCTGAGTCTCAGTGCAGGAGGTTTCACATGCAACCTGACAGCTCCGAGTGGCAGGAAAAGAGCAGGCTCTTTCCTCTTCTAACAGGACCCCAGAGCGGCTGTGAACCCCTCCAAGCACTGCTCAGCACAGATCCTCTCCACCCCAGTCTCCACATGTCCTGTGGCAAAGCCAAACCAGTGTTTGGCATCTACAAAGGTGCATGGGTGACAACACACTCTGACTGTGTTTGAGCACAATCCAGGACAGTCACAGACTTCACCTAGTGAAATGGAATATTTATCCAGCGAGACCAAGATCAGCTGACTGTAGCAGGCACCAAATAAAGAAATCACTTAAAGATATCTCGTTTTTTAAAAAAATGACTCCTAAGCACAGCTGTTGGATTATGCAGGAATGGGACACAAATGGGTATAAATGGGAGACCTGACAGAAAGTTAAACAATTAGCAGTGAGGAAAAAGCCGTGGTTACACCACCAGGTTAGTCCTACCTGAGTAATGGCATTTAATTCTTCTAAAATGGCATCTTCATCTTCTTCAGTCAGGCTGCCAGCCAACAGCTCATCTATTTGCTGTAGAACAGAGAATAAAATATTCCAGATAACAACAGTGCAGCAGCAGAAGCTCCATGGCAGATGCACAAATGGAACTCGCGTAAGCCCAGTTTCAACCAAACACTAAGAACGAGCCCAGTTTTTCTGCAGGCAGGGAACTGAAATTCAAACCCCAAAGTGAGCGCCCCTTGGACGGGGTGCCGGGGAGCAGGAGGGGGCTGCACAGACGTGGGGTGCCGGGGGGTCTGCTCAGAGCTGCCGCGCTCAACACGCACCCTCTGGTACTCCACCGCGTCCTGCGTTTCACCTATTATTCTCTCCACCTCTTCTATTGACATAACCTGGAGAAAAGAGGCAAAAACCCGGCCGTAAGTCCAGCTTGCAGGGACGGAGGCGCCGACTCTGCCCCATTCAGGGCAGGAAGGAAGGCGGCAAAGGGGTCGTACCCACCTGGTGCATTTTGTTCAGACATTCATTGCCGATTTTCAGGCCCTCAATGACCTTCATTTCAATCTGGGTGAACTCGATATCTTGGACCTGAAACGGGATGGAGGGAAGCGTCACCGGCTGCCATGTCCCCATCGTTTGCCACACACGGACTCCTGGATCCGCAGGGACGTGGCAGGGAGCGGGAGGCAGCAGCGCCAGTGAAGAGGGCTCCGGTGACACCAACTCAGTGCCAAACACCCCCAAAACACCCTCAGCTCGGGCCACGCAACCCAAAGCGCCGGCAGCTGCTGGCCCGAGGCCACGGTCCCAACGTGCGCCCCACAACAAGGGCGCCCGTCTCTGCAGTCCCGGTGGAGACGGGAGCCTGGGCAGCTCCTGCTGCGCGTGGACACGTTGGTGACTAAAGTTTCACCACTTTGGTGCCAAACCCGCGCTGGTGACTCAACACGTGGGACCGCCCGGCACCGGGGAAGAACAGGGGTGTCACAGGGGTCCTGGTGAGAGTTGGGGTGTCACAGGGGTCCCGGTGAGGGGATAGGGGTGTCACAGCGGACCCAATGAGATGACAGGGGTATCACAGGGATCCTGGGGAAGATTTGGGGTGTCACAGGGGTCCCTGTGGGAGGGTAGGGGTGTCACAGGGTCCCGGTCAGAGTTGGGCTGTCACTGGGGTCCCGGTGAGGGGGCAGGGGGGTCACTGGGGTCCCGGTGAGGGGGCAGGGGGGTCACAGGGTCCCCGTGAGGGGGCAGGGCTGTCACTGGGTCCCCGTGAGGGGGCAGGG